TCGTTTAAAATAGTGCACTTCTTATGCCTTCGCCGTCCTTACTTGAGACTGTCTCTGATGATGGGTCGGATTAGGGATCCGAAACGTTAAACCAATCAACCTTTCTGTTCTAGAGATCATATTTTCCTCAGAAATGTCCGTCTAGCTATGCGGTTCCAAAAGTCTGCCCCTTTCAAGTTCCCCGTAACCAAGCCTTGGAAAGACAAATCATGTCCTAGGACACTATGCTGACCGCCCTAGTCAAAGGCTGACAAGCCAGACTGAGAATGTTCGCCCTTAGATTATATAATCCTCGGAGTTCTTGCCTTACCACACTTGTGTAAATCGGGACCCACAGGCCTTATAAGAGCTTAAAAGCACAACAAAGTTGGGGTCGAAAATGCAGAAAAATTCTCGCATTAAGTCGTCCGGTGTAACCAGGGTGGAAGCAGCTTTATTATGGAGGATGCTAGCCTGATAACCATTATTTCTTCCTTTAAGTCAATGCTGTCCCGGGATCCAGGAGATAAGAGAGTCTTTCGGCACCGAAGTGCCCCTAGGGCAATGTCACAGAAAGAAAAATTCAGCATTTCCAAGAGATGGAAGATGCTTTCAAGTCCACGATAAAGTCACCATCTTCTAGTTTAAGTGACTAATTTACCAACGTCCTCGACGTACATGTCTACCAGAAGATGTGACTGATGCTCATCCGCGGTCCAGAATCTCACTGACCCGGGATGCCCATTCTCATAGGGCACTGACTGCAGCAATTCGAAAAATTCTAACTTGACCGCAAGATTATAACACCATCGCCTGCACAAACGGATATGCTACAAAGCCTGAGGAGTAATGCTGCCCTACAACAGACTCACAAAGCAAAAGTACTCCAAAAAACATCGTTTTCCCTCCGAGTACGCCTCCGTACAGTACTGCAAAGTGATCATTCAAAAATTAATTTCTGCGTTATTATCTTTACCCAATGCCTTCCGGTAATCTGATACAGTTTTTTGTCGTTCCAGAATTAACACATTTGAGCCAAGCGGCAGAATGACGGCATCCCGCAGCCCTTCAGTCTTCGTTCCTCACTCCAAAAAAGTAACAAATAACACGACAAACGGCTGGAAGTATGACAAAGACACTTAGAGTATGTGGGCTAACTCATGAAAAGTCAACCGAAATTGCCAAATGCGTTTCCGTTCGGAAAAGATTAACTAAGCAGGGTTGTAAAACTAAGTATCTTGCAATATGATTCTATAATATTTCAGTTAGCGCGGGATGCCGGCTTTCGAATGAATTTCCTTTCGGCTGCATGCAAAAGCTAAATTCCGTAAAAAATGACTACTTAGGTAGTATAAATTTATCTCATTGATTTTCGATGTCTCTTCACGTCCAATAATATTTCATGTAAAGGATGTATAAAAATATTCGTTCTTTTGCGCATTCCGCAGATAATTACGTCCTCTTCCAATCTTATACTCAAACGAAGGGTATAGTTCGGTTTTCAAAACCTTTTCCTATTCCCGAATAATTTTGAACCCGCTCTACCGTCACACTTGGATTCAGGGCTTCCAAACTACAAGCCGTATATTTTCCGTGTACAAAAAGCCACACAGTTCTCTGAGGTATTATAGGGGGACGATATAAGGTTCATAAAATTAAACAGTGGATTTGATCCATAATGTTAACTTTACAAGTCACATTGATAAACGCAAAGGCATGAAGTTTTATAAACGGTTATTTGATGGTATTAAAAAATCTCATATTTAGAAACTTTTTCTAAAACCGAATTATGTCCCTACTTTGAGTATAAAATTAGAAGCAGACGTAATTATCTATCGAAAGAGCAAAAAATGAATATTTTTTTGCATGCTTTCCAAGAAAAAAATTGGACTTTTAGGGACATTTAAAATTTGTGAGAAAAATCAATGCTACTTAAGTCGTTATTTTTTGCAGTGTAGTTTTTCTATGCGGCCGAAAGGAAGTTCATTCGAAAGCTGGCATGATGCGGTAACTGAAATATTATAGAATTATTTTGCAGGCTGACCTCTTTTGCAACCCTACTTAATTAATCTTTTCGAGACAAAAACGCATTTCGGAATTTTGGTTGACATTTCATGAGTTAGCCCACGTACTGTACATCGGCGGCAAATCGACAATTAAAACCTTGGAGGACTCAAACGGTATTGTTTCCGTACCCCCGCTATCTTCACTGGGACCTGACCCAGGCCGATCATACGACAACGTATTTCCGAATTCTCGGACTGACAGTCGTGCCTGCCAATTAAACCTCGAATTTTCCAGGCACACTAACCTGTGATTTTGGGCAAGACATGCGCATGACACCCTCGCCAACACAGACTGAGGCAGCCACCCAATTCAACTCCGCCGTTTGGATATGAACTTTCCGTGCTGGAAGAACCGGGTACATGTCTCTCCTCCCAACTGCCCTCATCTGCTGCCAAGCTGGCTCCAACGGTCCGTAGAGCACCGGCAGGGCCTTAACTTTGACACTAATCATCCGCTTCAACACATTTTCGGTGGATGTACGCCTGCTGTAGCAGGCCAACTGCAAGATTTTTCGAAATAGAGATAAAGGTTAGACACAAAAAGTCGATAGGGTACGTCGTGGACGAAGTGTGACCAGACCAGAAGAATAAGCCAACCAATTCACATCAGGTCAAAGTTTTTGCACACGACATGTCCATCCGAGGGCACTGACGTAGAAACTTGCTCACTGATCGTACTCTATGGTTCACCGTCAAATGATGCTATCACACAAATTCAGTTCTCATCTGTTATCTACATGATAAGAGTTTAGCTGTGAGACGCCACCTTTATGGGATAAAACAGCTATCAATTATGGACTAATGAGACGGAGACTGGACGGGACTTTGTAGGTGAAAAATGGCACTGTCCCAACAGGGCCTATGTTTGACTTAGACGCGGCCGAGACTCTGAACACAGACGGGCACATAAGAGAGGTCTTAAGGCAGTCATCCAACCAACCGACCCATCCACCTACATAATTCAAGTCCCACTTCGCGTAAACAAAATCTAAGCAAGCACACCCTTCGGACAACCCAGTTTCCTGAGTGCCAGCTCTAATGGAACCGCAAATCAACATCCACAGTAGCTATTCTCCCGATCTGTACGGCGGCAGAGTCCACAGTTCATGATGAGGAACAGTTATGCATGCCAGGTGAAAGCGAAACCAGAAAATGAGACCTTTCCCATGACCGCGTCTTTCTTAAGGGCAGCCTTTTTTAATACAACAGATTAAAAACCCTTCATAAAAAAACAGATTTTACGTTTTTGAGCAGTTTCCGTGAGGAGAAAAATTCGTTTTACCCGTGCAGACGCCGTAGGCAAACTCAGTTTGGCATGCCAAGGTGGTATTGCGGTGCAAAATACGGGGCCAGACAGCTGCGGCTTGGAGTCTTAGCATTCATAAATTGCGTTGAAGGACGATCGACTAATTGGAGGGGCAGTCTCAGCTTGCCTGCTGCCCCGAAAAATCACGGACCCGTAGTTACAGTAGATGCGCTAACTCATAAAATATTCACCGACATTTTAAAATGTGTTTTCGATTCGAAAAGATTACTTATATAGGGTTGCAATATTAAGTACCGTGCAGCAAGATCCCAAGATATTTCAAACACTCGGAATGCCGACTTTTGAAAGATTTTTTTTCGGCCGCCTGCGATACGCACACTATGTAGAAAATAACTACTTACTTAGTGTGAAGTTTTTTCATCGATTTTTGACGACCTTGTAAATATTGTTCACTGAAAACATGCATAAAAATATTCATTTATCAAAATATTCTTCTTCAAATTCCATACATAAAGGATGGATATAATTCAATTTTAATAAAGGTTCTGATCAGAGATTTTTTAAGACCACTAAATGCCCGTTCATAGAACATCGTATCTATGCATTCATTAATGTTGCTTGTAGAGTTTTCGCAACGGCTCAGACCCACCGTTAACTTTCATGAACCCATCATGATTTGTCCATAGCACAGCACAAAAGCCCATGATTGCCCGTGCACTGAAAATACGCAGCTTGCAGTTTGGAAACTCTGAAGGCAAGTGTTACGGCAGGTCAGTTTCAAAGTTATTTGAGAATTGGAAATGTTTTTAAAGCTGAATTATACCCTTCCTTAGAGCGCAAAATTTGAAAAAGGCGTAATTGGCTACCAAATTGGCAAAAGCATGAATACTTATGCATTTTTTATGAAATATATTTAAACTTCTAAGGTTGTCAAAAATCGATGAAAAGATTCATGCTACACAAGTAGTTATTTTTTACAGAGCGTGGTTTTCGTAGGTCACTAAAGGAAGTGCTTTCAAAAGCCGGCTTTCTGGAGTAACTGAAATATCATGGGCTTATGCCGCATGGTAATTTGTACTGCAACCCTACTTAGGTATTCTTTTCGAGTGGGACACACATTTCAGCATTTCGGTTAACATTTCCTGAGTTAGCATACCTACTATAAATAGGCTTGTTGATAACCAATTGAGGTCGGCTTTACATTACATGTAGATCCTATTTAGGCATGGCATGCTACCAGAAGCTTTGTGCAAATACGTTGAGGTTATAAAATGATTGTAAGTCGAGGTTTCGCGCAGACTTGAGACGCCAGTTAATAAGGTCAGACAATTTCCGGTTGTGGATAAAACACCGACTTCGGAAGACTCGAATGGATATGTGCCGAGGCGCAACCTATCTTGCCTTTCCCTTTCTGTTCCTCATTCTTGAACTTACTGGTTGTTTAACTGAACGGAAGGAACACAACGCTACGCGACGCGCTTGGCATGAGTTGGATTGTCAGGTCGTTTGACTTTTGATTGTTAATTCTCTCATAACTCTGGTCTTATCCTGATCTTCATAGTCTGGGATTGACAGTTCTGTCTTTAGCGTTTGCTACAGTGGTGACCCCTTGGCGTTCACGCTTATACCTTTAATTTGTGGACTTTCTATTTGCATACCGCCCGTTTGCCTTCTTTCTTTCTACAATCATGACCTCAACGAATTCCAACGATCCAACTACTTCTCTCAGTGGACTTATTTCTTCTCTCCCAGACTTTTGGCAACATGCGCCAGAGCTTAATTTTTTCCGTATTGAGGCGACTTTTCACTCTGCCAAGATAACACGTGAAACCGACAAGTTTTATAAGCTGGTCGAGGCCCTCCCTCCCACCATTCTTTCTCAAGTGCAGACGCTTCTGAGAGATCCCCCGACTGATGCTCCCTACACCAAGTTAAAGGCTGAACTTCTTCGCCTGACATCAGTCTCCGATCGGCAGCGTTATCACGCGCTAGTAAAAGAGGAGGCCTTAGGTGATCGCAAGCCGTCGGAACTCTTGCGTCGTATGCGTTCTCTGGTTGGGAACATGAAAATCGACGACAAATTCTTTAAAGAGATGTTCTTAGAACGTCTGCCGACGTCGGTACAAACAATCTTGGCCTCTGGCTCCGACGACCTAGAAATATCAAAGTTAGCGGAGATGGCTGACCGTATAATGGAGGTTGAGCGTTTGTCATCCCCGACGATTGCTCAGGTGTCCCAGCCTCTCAACGTGTCCACCTCTGACCTGGCTGAACTAAAGACACAGATTGCCCAGTTGTCAGCGACTGTTGCCGCTTTGCAGCTGCGCCGATCCCCCGGTCCCTCTCGACGTCCCTTCGGCCGTGACCGTCGTCGTTCCCGCTCTCGCCCCAGGACCGCCAACCTATGTTGGTATCATGTCAACTATGGCGACAATGCGCGGCGCTGTGTCCCACCCTGCTCCTTTAAGTCCACGCAGGGAAACTCCTCGGCCGGAGAGTAAATGCGGCCGAGCTCTCTGTCAACTCTACGGGTCGCACATTTTACGTGAGTGATAACACGAGTGGCAGGCATTTTTAGTCGACACTGGCACTCAAATTAGTGTTATCCCTCCCACGCCAGCCGACCGACTTTGCCCAAACCATGGTCTTTACCTTCAAGCCGTAAACTCATCTCCCTTTACAACCTTTGGATTTCGATCCCTCTCTCTGGATATTGGTCTCCGGCGATTATTCCTTTGGATATTTGTGGTTGCTGATGTTCCCACCGCTATCCTTGGTGCTGATTTTTTGGCCGCCTTTGACCTTCTGGTGGATTGCAGGCAACTTCGCCTCCATGATCGCGCAACTACCCTCACTGTCAAAGGATTTCCTCCATCCTCAGCTTCTAACCAGCTCTCCGTCCTTGACCCAAACCCTGACTGTCCATTTCGTAGACTTTTAGCAAAATATCCTACCCTCACTAAACCCCATTTTTCTGACACCTCACTTCCCCATGATATTGTTCATCACATAAAAACGACTGGTCTTCCCGTTTTCTCTCGTCCCCACCGTCTTGCTCCCGCGCGTCTTGCGGCTGCTAAAGCCGAATTTGACCACATGCTGCAACTAGGGATTATTCGACAGTCTGACAGTCCCTGGGCATCTCCTTTGCACATGGTTCCTAAACCAAATACGGATGATTGGCGTCCTTGTGGCGATTATAGAGCCCTAAACAATATCACTATGCCCGATTGGTACCCCGTTCCTCATCTTCAGGACTTTGCTGGAGCCCTTTACGGCAAAACCGTTTTCTCGAAGATCGATTTGGTGCGGGCTTTTCATCAAATTCCGATTGCGGCTCAGGACATTCCCAAAACGGTAATGACGACTCCTTTTGGCTTGTTTAAGTTCCTTCGTATGTCATTTGGTCTCCGAAATGCCTCATAGACTTTCCAACGTTTCATTGACCGTGTTTTACGCGGCCTTCCATTTGTTTATGTGTATATTGATGATGTTCTCGTCGCCCGTCGAGATGTCGAGGAACATCTCCAACACCTTACCCTGCTTTTTGACCGATTTCAGCAGTTTGGTGTCACCCTGTACCCTTGCGAAATGTGTCCTAGGAGCCACTTCTCTTGAGTTCTTAGGTCACCTGATAGACTCAAACAGCATTCGGCCTCTTCCCTCAAAGGTTGCCGCCATTCGGGACTTTCCACCCCCTACCTCGAAGCGTCAGTTGCAACGGTTTCTTGGTATGGTGAACTTTTATCGCCGGTTTCTTCCGAACTGTGCGATACCATCCTAACTCTGACCAGTCTTCTCTCAGGTTCCAAGCGCACCTTTGAACTTACACCAGCAGCACTCACGTCATTTGAGCAGGTAAAAGCCCTTCTGGCTGATGCCACCCTGCTGACTCACTTTCATGCTGATGCACCTATATCTCTGATGGTCGATGCCTCCAATGTTGCTGTTGGCGCAGTTCTTCAACAAAGTCTGCCGGATTCTACCGTGCCTTTGGCTTTCTTCTCCAAGAAACTATCCAAAGCCGAAACCCGCTACAGCACATTCGGACGTGAACTTCTCGCCGCTTATCTTGCCCTAAGGCACTTCCGGCATTTACTCGAAGGTCGAGAGTTCACAATTTTCACTGATCATAAGCCACTAACGTTTGCAATGCATTCCCACTCTGACAAGCTAACCCCCCGGGAGATCCGTCACCTGGACTACATTTCGCAGTTCACTCCAGACATCCGCCATATTGACGGATCACGGAATGAGTTGGCTGACGCACTCTTCAGGCCCTCTATTGCTCATCTTCAGCTTTCACCCGGGATAGACTTTGCTGAGATGGCCGCTGAACAACGCCGTGTCGGTCCACCCTGTGATGAGGATGTTTCCGGACTCCAACTTCAGGAACTACCACTGACAACTGGCAACGGCACCATTTTATGCGACGTATCCACCACATCCCACCGTCCATTTGTGCCACCATCCCTCCGCCGTAAAGTTTTCTCCTCCTTGCACAATCTCTCTCACCCTGGGAGTCGAGCAACCGACAAGCTGGTTTCCGACCGCTTCGTCTGGCCTGGGATGCACAAAGACCTGAAAGCATGGACACGAGCTTGTATCCCCTGTCAACGGAGTAAGATCCAGCGGCACAACAAGGCCCCCATTGGCACCTTCCCCAGTCCTGGTTCAAGGTTCAGCCACGTTCACCTGGACATTGTAGGCCCCCTGCCTCTGTCCAATGGTTGTTCCTATCTCCTCACCTGTGTGGATCGGTTCACTCGGTGGCCTGAAGCAATTTTCCTACCTTCTGCTTCCCCCATGCAGCCTCTATTCCACCGTCCACAGCTTATTTTCCCTCTGCCCTCCTGTCCGCCATCTCCGACTGCCACCACCAACTCCAACACTTCCGCCACCAGATTTATTCACTCTTCTACGGACCCTGTATATATCAATCGCAGTGGTCGTCATGTACACTTTCCTGATCGGTTGGTCACGCATTTCTTTTAGACCTGTACACATCCTTCGGCGTCGTTTTCGCCGGCCTCCGGTCTCGGAGGGGGGTACTGTGCCGAGGCGCCAGACTATCTTGCCTTTCCCTTTCTGTTCCTCATTCTTGAACTTACTGGTTGTTTAACTGAATGGAAGGAACACAACGCTACGCTACGCGCTTGGCATGAGTTGGATTGTCAGGTCGTTTGACTTTTGATTGTTAATTCTCTCATAACTCTGGTCTTATCCTGATCTTCATAGTCTGGGATTGACGGTTATGTCTTTAGCGTTTGCTACTGATACACTAGACAGGGAAGATCAAACACGCAGCAGCAGTTTGAAGGAATGTTTTTTGCTCTGGGATCGTGTCTCATTCGACTGGACACGATTACGCATTAACTTTAAACACATCGGATTTCTCATGAGGAACTACGGCCACATAGGCCGCCAGCCGCTTAAGTCATGAATTTCAAGACCGCAGTCGACCAACAGGCGCAATAAATAGAACTCTCGTACCAACAATAGCGTGTCCCTACACTCATGAAAAGGTTTAATGCCAAGATATCTAGCATGTCAGCTCGAGTACTTGTTACCTGGTTCCCGTCTGATATAAAGTGCCAGAATAAGCGACTGATAATGAGCTTAGGCAAGATTAGTAATTTCCTAACTTCTTCTATCAAAATAGTTATCCAGATAAGTATCGATATTACAATGGAAATCGCCAATCACGCTCCAAGTACCTTATGTGACTTCTTGCTCTGTGACTCTTTTCTGAGCGCTAAATGAGTTTCCAGCCGTATATCGACACTGTGTTTTGCCCACAAAGTGTGGTTTATCTAGCTCTTACAAATCCCCTACGCTAGCAAGTGTTGAGGATCCAAGCGTAAAAGGCGACCTTAAGTGGTACAGATTGTGTTTTTGCGCGTAGATTCGTTTGTTAGCATTTTGCCCAGAATTGGTCCAGCATCCGTTAGCGGGAATACCCTCGGGAGATTCACAGGCGAATTGTAAATCGACATCAACAAACGGATTGCCCGGCAAATGATTGCTTCTTCTTTGGTGAGTATAAAACAGCAGTGTCATAGTTTCTAATCAATAAAAATAACCTCCAACGCACGACATATACATCAGACCGAAAGGTCTATACAAATCCAAGAGAAACAAAACGCTCGCACTATCATAAAACAGAAGACTATATCTTAAATTTTTGATAAAGGTTCGAAGGCGGAAAAAATGAGAACGCTAGGAGCGATCGAATATGCATCCGCTAGACAATTCGAAAGACAAATACACACCCACGACATGGAAGTTGCCCGCTGTCCACGACGTCAGGCACTCCTGTGTGAATTATATTCTCCAATTCTGAGCATCGCATGTAAATGTGTTCATCAAAAACGCAATTGGCTCAAGAAATCTTTCGAATAATCTATCCCCTACACACAAGCATAAACCCAAACATTCGATAGAAGAGAAAGCACGAGTCACAGGAAACAGTATAGGAGAGGGCTTTGTGACAGCTATGACAAGAATTTAATTTCCCTGACGCGTCGAATTCGCTCTCGTAATGCGACAAGGGATTCATCAACGTGCGTTTACAGATGCAAATTTCATACATGCTGCAAAGAACTCTGGCCCCTTTTCTCGGAATCGTCTCCTTTTTCTAATAAATCATGCGTACCCAATCCGGGTCTTGCAGTCTGTTTATTGCTCAACAGAGTAAAGCGTTAAAAGTGCGACCTACGACACGGAGGCAGGACAAAGGTAGGGTACGCGTCATCGGGACTGCGCACTCATAACAAATGCTACACATGGGTAACTGTGAAACACCTAGGCGCAAGCTCCCGCCGGGCCACCCATCATCGATCGGTCTCATCACCAGACGACTGGCTAGGTCGGCCAGAGGACGGATGTCTGGGAGGGAGGAACAGTGGACAAGGTCCACTCTGTAAACACCGACCCCACGACACCCAGCGTATATTCCATTCTATGAAAAAGCTGACACGTTTCTAAACTGTTACGATGCGTTAAAATTCGTGTCTCGAAAGACACCCAAGTGACAGGAGAACTTGTCCCCTTTTCAGGATGGATAGTCAGGCTGTAATACTGTAGGTGGGCTAACTCATGAACTGTCAACCGAAATTCCGAAATGCGCTTTTGTTTCGAAAAGATGAATTACGTAAGGCTGTAAGACTAATCATTGTGCAGCATAAATCTACAATAATTCAGTTACCACAGGATGTCGGCTTTCGAGATGAACTTCCTTCCGTCTGCATGCAAAAACTATACTCTGCAAAAAATGATTGCTTAATTAGCATGAATTTTTCTCATTGATTTTCGATGCCCCTAAAAGTCCAATTGTATTTCATGGAGATCATGCATAAATGTATTCATTCCTTTGTTCATTCGGCAGACAATTTCGATTTCTTTTAATTTTATACTCGAAGGAAGGGTGCAATTCGGTCGTAAAATGTTTCTAATTGTGGAACTTTTAAAAACCGTAAAATGACCGTTCATAAATCGTCATATCTGTGCCTTTCCCAATGTAAAGTTAGAATACAGACAAAATCAACGGCTTAATTTTATGAACGCTATATGGTCCCCTTTATTACCGCAGAGAAATGTGCGGTTTTCCGTACACGGAAAATATACGGCTTGTAGTTTGGAAACCCTGAATTCAAGTGTGACGGTAGAGCGCGTTCAAAATTATTCGGGAATTGGAAACGTTTTGAAAATCGAATTATGTCCCTTCTTCAGGTATAAACTTAGAATAAGGCGCACTAGTCTACCGATTGAGCAAAAGAATGAATATTTTTATTCATGTTTTCCATGAAATATAAATGGACTTTTCGGGGCATCGAAAATCAATGAGAAAATAGCGTGCTACTCACGTAGTCATTTTTTACAAAGTGTAATTTTTGTATGAAGCCAAATGGAAATTCACTCGAAAGCTGGCATCCCGAGGTAACTGAAATATTATGGAATTATGTTGCAGACTGACTAGTTTTACAACCCTACTTAATTAATCTTTTCAAAGCAAACACGCATTTCGGAATTTCCCTTGACATTTCATGAGTTAGCCCACCTAGTGTAGCTCCATTTTAACGTGGCCTTTATGACACTCCAGACTCACTTGGAATCCGGGCACCTTTTTTGCTCTCTGTATAAAAGCTTGAACCGTTCCGCGCAGAACCGGCTTGTGTAGCATGCGCGGGCGGACGCAGTGGATTTACTGGCCAGTGCGCAAAATTACGCCTTCGATCTGGACTTTGGTATGAGACTGGGTCTTGTAGTACGAGAAGGGGAGAGTGAGGTTGATGTAGCACAAACTCACTATCACTACACATTATTTCTCGCTCAAGTCATCGTACCTGCACCCATCTTGTTGTGCGCACATACCAGACATGGACAATAATGACGGTCCAACCGCCAGTGAGTCAAATTTCCTATACTAAGCTGCAAGAAATTACGAAGTCACGCATTTAAACCCTAGTTTTGAGTCAACCCCCTGACCGGCAAATGCATGCTGGGAGTGCGTTGCTAGATTTCTGATGTCAAGTCTGTCTAGTACGCAAGTCTAATAACTTTCCTGAAAATATGACCGACACGTAAGTTGGTAAACTGCTCTTGACGATGAGACACCAAAAAATAATTGTGACAAAGACGTAGTTAGCAAAGTTCGTTTTGTCACCGGTAAGGAACAATTCACGTCATTGTAATTAATGCATATGTGAAGAATGAAAAAATACTGAAAATTAGTGAAATGACATGAAGGGTCGTAATAAGTGTTCATAGGTGTTCCTAAAAGCGTGTTTTTTGCAATTTTGTCATTTCTCAGGATATTTTTTCTTGGAACGTGCGCTGCTGAGTTTAATCACACGCATGCACGACCAGATGCGCCATTTCACAGTGTAAATCCTTTTGATATGCAAATCAACAAATAGATGAACGATTCACATTCAAGACCGTGCTCAATCTTTAAAGTTGCTTTTTCAAGTAAACATTGGAATATGCCGTTCAGACGTTGATGTAGGAGCATGTCCTGAAAAGCGCACGCATTTTCACGGCACGTAGAGGAGCTAACGCTCTTGCCACGAATGAAAGTCCAAAGTAATGTGCGTCTTTGTCGTACCAAAAACCACATTTGGTGCCGGAGACTTAGGTGGACAGTTGGCCATAGACAGTCGGATTTGGAAACGGACACGGCAGAACTTGTAGCTGGACCACTGCTACATATAACCTCACTCTTGAGAGTAACTTCTAGCTGTTGTATTTGAGCCTTTTTGCTGTTAGCGGGGTGTGTAGCTCTTCCTCTATGCTATCGCAAAAGGACAGCCTCCTTAGTCGGCTGTGAGCCTTTTGAAGTAAAAGAGTTGGATAACAGGACCCTAACGACAGCTGTTTCTTGTAGATTGTTAACAAAGTACAGCTTCTCTGTCGGTTGCATGCCTTTTGAAGTGGAAGACTTTGATAAAAGGAGCTCCATTTGATCTTAACGGCAGCTGTTTCCTGTCGACTGATAACATTAGCAGGCGGCATCAAATTTATTTGTGTACTGCGCAACCGTGGTTAGTAAAGAACATTTTTAGTAATTTTATTATTTGTACATAGCTTAAACCTTTATTTTTACATCGGTTAACAGCAGGACGAGAGAAATGAGTGAAGTACTCTGGGTTGATGAGGCTGCTTTCTGGGCGGGAGGGTAGGAGGGGGGGGGGAGGGGAATCTGTGGTATTTCAGGTTGCACCGTTCGCAACTCCTTTGCTCACTTTGGGGTGAACAGGTAGCGAGCAGACGGAAGCCCTCCAAAGTCCTCTATATGGATGCGAACTACGAGTGGGCAAATTACGCGTGAAAAACCTTGTGGACGAAAATTTTCCAGTTTTAAGCAATATGCAAATTAGGTATTGCGAGGATGTTTACCAGAATTAATTTCAGGCACTTGATTGAAACCATCCTAGACAAAAAATTGCTCTCTCCCTGCTAACAAAACGTGCTTTTGGTCACCGAAAATTTTCGTCAGAAGGGGTGTTCTTAGATGATTAAATTTTACACGTTGCGTGGCTTTTGTTCAGTTTTGGCACTAATAAGGTTTTCTGGCGACGCTCTATATGGAAATTTATTTTGACACAGTATGCGAAAAATAACTATAAAAATGTCATTGATTCACGGAGCGCTGTGAACTCTGGACAGAATTCTCGGAGAACTGGTTCGCTGATATCCGTTTATGCTGGTTAGGAGACTGCGTATATATTCAAACCAAGCACGCAACTGTCAAGTACACCTTCATCCAGGTTTTATCGGACCCGAAGGAATTATAATGTTGCCTTTACGGAAAAAGGCCAAATGTCAGAGCAAAACCGCAAACACACACGGATGCAAACAAGAAAGGAATTGCGACTATTTAAACCCTTAGCTAAACATAAATAATTCCTGAATTTCGAACAGCTGAGAAAAGTGGTAAATCACTGTAGTATCATGTTCATTTTCGATCGTTAATAACACGTCGTTGTTCATTCTCTTTGTTGAGCGAGCGGTTTTTAGCTATTTTAAATTACCCTGGTGGAATCACCGACAATATTTATAGATTTGAATTTGGGTCTTAATGATTTCCAAGTTTATTACACACATCAGAATAAATACCAGATTGTTCGGTTCAGATAAATCGCCAGTTAATATAAAATGCAGTTGCGTTCATAGTAACACTTTTCGCTTTAAAGCCATTTTCCATTACGAGTGTAATGAAATATGTGCGTTTCGCTGTGAACCAAATAGACCGCATCGTTAACCTGAACATAATAGAGGACGCTAATGAGAATGTTTTACTTTCATTTTCAGTTTCTGACCATAATATACCTCTGAAGTCTCACTTGTACGTTCCAAACCGGCCAATTAAAAGGACTCAACTTTGTATCTTCGCTACTCCTGTTCATCAATTAATTGTCAATTTATATATTTAAAAAGACGCTTTTACTGCAAACTGATATTTTATTTGCCAAAATTTTCTATGAGTATAAAAGGCAGTCTTTTTATATTAGTCGACGGACGGGCAGTTATGTTATTTATCCAATAAATTGTTCCAAACTTCCCATTTTAAGACGCGATTGAATGTAATTTATGTTTTTCAGCTTAAAACATGGTTCAGAGTGACAGGCTCTTTGCTTTTAGATTTTTGATCACTGCATCATGAGATTAGCGGCCCGAAGCCATAATTGATCTGGCGATATAAGTACTTATTTTGGAACAAATGACAGAATGTACTCATAAATGGGTTTTTTGGCAAATATTCTATTAAATGTTTACTTACGTACCAAATGTTTGCCGAAACTATACAGGCAACTTATTTCATGCGGTAAAAGTCTCCGGTTTCTTCATATTTGCCGGTACTTTCTGCCTGCGGTTAGACTAGCGATATTTCCCAAAATTCGTGTCAATCTTCGCATGCTGCAAAATAGTGATCTCGCGTCGAAAACGGAAGCTGTGTTCCAGAACCTTCCGGAAAATTTGGAAATTCCTTATCATTAGATGTATCATCAATGTTTACTAACGTACCTCTGTAATAAACAATAATCTACCTCTGTGACGTTGTCCGCTATGCCGCTGACGCTTTGCACACAAAATGTTCAGTCTCTCTTTAATGGTCTCCTATGCAGACAAATAGACGGCGTATCGATGGGTTCACCGTTTGTCCCATTCCTCGGAAAAAATGTCTTCATGAGCAAAGTCGAGAATACAAGGTTGTAAGATACGATTAATAACTTCGACTTCTACGGTCGGTACGTGGATGATATTTTCTGCCTGTCGATATTGCCACCAATAACGACGTCCTGGTGCAAAAGTTTAGTAGTGCACACAACTCGATAAAGTTCTCTGCAGAGGCTGAGGCAGACAACAAAATCGCTTTTTTCGATGCCCTTCTGCAGAGACAAGCGGACTGACCTATCCGGCGTAGGGTATTCCGAAAGAAAATCTTGGCAGAACAGTACATTAATTTCCACAGTTTTGTTTCCCTAAATATTAAACGTAAATCGACTTAGGAGTTGGCTGCTAGAGTGCGGCGTATCTGCTCCCCTGAGACTGCTGAAGCAGAACTCCAGCAGCTGCGGGATATACTCCGCGAAAACGGAAACCCAGATAGATTTATCCTCCGAAGCATAGGGGAACGCACCGCAAAGCCCACCATGACAACCGAAGAAAAGAAAGACTTATTTCTAAGTTTGCCTTTTCAAGGGAATGCAGCAAGGGACTCAGTAAGAAGAAGTCTGAAGACAGCGATCAGTAGCGCTCTCCCGGCGGCGATTTTACGTGTGTTTCACGGACTCTCCCGTCCTATGCTTGGGAGGCAAAGACTGACTATCATTAAGGTTATATAAGCGTTTTTACTCATACACTTGCTCCGGTGAGACGGGATATATTGGCTGTACAACTAGACGCCAGGAAAAGAGAGTACGTGAAAACATACTGGCCTGGCTGGGCAGAGGCAAAAACAGATCCATTTCGAGTTCTGTTCTCGCACATCGCGTCTATACGAATCACCGAGTAGACGCCAAATAAGCCTTTCAGGTTGTCTACAGGACACCATCATACTTCCCCAGATGCCTGCAATGGCAATGGCTATACGGCTAGCAAATCCAGTGCTGTGTTGCCAGAAGACGTTGACAGAGGCGATGTGCCTTCCAAGGCCAACGTCAACCGCAGATGATCATTGAGTGCCGCCCTAACCCACTGATGCCACTGATGTGAGCTTAACGTACCCGACTCACAAACGTCACGCACAGCCTATGTCACCCTCCCCCTCCACCTTGCCCCAAGGAACATAACACGTCGACCTCGTTATGCGGGTGGTGTGGAAACGATGGGCGTTATTAGCCCTGAGTCACTTATAAACTCTGTAAACTTCTTATATTTTAAATTCATATATAGCTGCATTGGTCTGATGATGATGTACCGAAAACAAATGTTTGCCAAATTTGCCTTTCAAGTGTAACCTGGAAATATTAACAGAACCCAAGACCATGTGTTTTGCGGTTATTTTCATCTATCTTAAGACCTTATAAACCTTCCCACAATCTTATAAACATTTTTCTCACACAGGTATACAGCACTGAACCTCGATATGCGCAAAGAATGAGGGTCCAGACATTGTTTCTCGTTCAGCATCCCCCGAAGACGTCGCTGAAGAAGAAAGGACGAATTCATGGACCATATTGTGTTTGAACTGACGTTCCGAATACTTACTCGTTTCCATCATCCGGGTTGTGTGCTTGCTGTTCCTGTCGGTCTTGATTTGTTCAGTCTTGCCGCTTACCTCCTATTTTAGCCGTGCCCGACGCACGAACTTTAACCCGCCTGTTTGCCGCTGACTGGCTTAGGCCTTCCCGGGGCTGACCGCTGAAAGGCTTGCGTGACGTTTGTTGTCTTTGTGGTCGGCGAAGTTGTAGCCAAATCAAGGTGTCGGTTGGCCTTTCTCACGTCAGCCGGTGGAATGGTCGGCCGTTGCTGTTCATGTGAGCAGCATTGGGCTTCGCGGGCGCATCGGTGAGACAGTGTTCGGCGTTGATCACATGACCTCTGGCCCACAACTCCGTTCTTTTCCGTGAGCGTTGACTCTCGGTCCCGTGCGCTTGCTTGCCTTACTGGTCCTGTCCGGATCGACCCGAGTCTTGTTCACAGCGCCTGGTAGGCGGGATGTCGAACTATAGCTCGGTTTGGTGTGCCAATCGAGAACAAACCTTGGAGCACCTGTCTGGCCATTTTCTCATTGGTTCGACCAATTACCCTCGCTATCTCAAAGGCGAAATTGTGGTTCAGTTCACGAATGTGCCCATAGACCGAAGACAGCTTGCCCTTCCGGTTGATTGCAAGTTGGTGTTCGTGCAATCTTGTACCGAGAAGTTTGCCCGTTTCACCAACATACCTTCCATTGCAATTTAGCCATGGTATGCTGTAGACCACCGCCGCCTGTTCTGTTGTTGGAAACGGGTCTTTGAGCTTCATGATTTGCTGCCTGATGGTGCATTCTGGTTTAAGAGCCACGTCAATCCCAAAAAGTTTCAGGATTCTCGACGACGCCTCTGATACTTTCTTCACATAGGGTGTTGAGAGCCAGAACTTCGACTTTTCTCCACTGGACTGCTCAAAATGAGGCTTTTTGAGGCAATTGCATATGAAGGACTTCGGGTAGCCGTTGGCTTTAAAAAGGGCCTGTAAGTAATTCACCTCCTCCTTCCTCCCACTGTCGTCGCTACAGCTGAACACGTTGAAAGAGAGTTCTGACACAGCTGCGTTTATGACCAACAGGGTGGTTGCTTCGGAAGTGGAGGATGCGCCTAGTATTTGTTACCTTACGGTAAACCGTGGTGCTTATCTTCCCGTCTGTCAATTTCGTAACTTACATCTCCAGGAAGGGCAACTGATTGTTGACTTCCTCTTCCATATAAACTGGATGTTGGGGAGGATTGAGTTCAACAATGCCTCGAAAGCCTTTACCTCGCTCCTCTTGATTACAACGAACGTGTCGTCGACGTATCTGGCCCAGAACTTCGGGGACACGAGCTGAAGACCAGCTGCTCGCGCCCCTGCAAAACTGCTTCGGCAATTAGTCCAGGCAATATTGCACCTTTATTTTCTCCTAGATTTTAGGTATAATTAGTTCAAATTAGGATACTTAACCGCGTGCTCTGATGGCTTTGCTTCCTAGCTGTCAGCCGAGGAGCGCCTAGTATATGAAATCATCTGGGCAAACCAAGTATTAAATCATGTACCAGAAAAAGAAGTCACGCTGTCCAGATAACTCGAGTCAGCGAAAAATTCCGCAATACATACAGTAGGTAGGCTAAGTCATGAAATGTCAACCGAAATTGGAAATGCGTTTTCGTTTAGAAAAGATTAATTAAGTAGGGTTGTAAAGTTGATCGTCGCGCAGCGTAATTCTATATTAATTCAGTTACCTCAGGATACCGGCTTTCAAATGAACTTCTTTCCGGCCGCATACAAAAACCATACCATGCAAAAAGTGACTACTTAGTTAGCATGCATTTTTCTCATTGATTGTCGATGCCCTTAAAAATCCAATTATATGTCACGGAAAACATGCATAAAATATTCATTCTTTTGCTCATTTGGTAGAAAATTACGTCCTCTTCGAATTTTATACTTGAAGAAAGGGTATAATACGGTTTTAGAAAAGTTTCTATTTGTGAGATTTTTTAAAAATAGTGAAATGGCCGTTAGTAAAACGTCATGTCTCTGCATTTACTAACGTGGCTTGTAAAGTTAACCATATGATCCAAATCCACTTTTAAATTTTATGGGCCCCAAATATTTTCCTCATAAAACACTAGAGAAATTTATGGTTTTCCGTACGCGGAAAATATACGGCTTGTAGTTTGGGGACCCTAGATGCAAATGTAACGGCAGATCGGGCTCAAACTTATGAGGGAATTGGAATAGTCTTCGAAAACCAAATTATACCCTTTCCTAGAGAATAAAATGGGAAGTTGACGTAGTTATCTACCGAATGAGCAGAAGAATATATATTTTTATTCATGTTTTCCATGAAATTAAATCAGATTTTTAAGGGCATTGAAAATAAATGAGAAAAATGCACGCTATTTAAGTAGTCACTTTTTTGCAGAGTATGGTTTTTGTATGCAGCCAGAGAAAAGTTCGTTCGCCCTGTGGTAACTAAATCATTGTAGAACTATGCTGTAGGATGATCAGTTTTACAAACCCACTTAATTACTCCTTTCGGAACGAAAATGCATTTCGTAATTTCGATTGACATTTTGTGAGCTAGCCCACCTACTGCATTTAAATATGCCTAAATTTAAAATCTGCAATGGAACGAAGCGACAAAAGTCTAAACGCGATTTGGGGAGGTATTACTGTAAATCCAATCCGGTTAGACAATATTCAGGTACATCTCCGTGTAGCCTCAAAAATCGGACGAACCGGAAGGAATTATAATGTCGCCTTTACGGAAGGAGGTCAAATGTTTTGGTTCCACCTCCTTCCTCGTTCTCCTCTCCCCGAGATGAAATTTTGCGTGCTTGGATGAGCACTCAGGCAGCAGTCAGTTTTTGGCTGGTTTGCTCCTTGGCCAACACTTTGCACTCGCGTCTTGCCGTAAGCATAGTGCTCAGTAGCATTTTACTGCAACACACGTACTGCAAAAAATGGAAGTTATTCAAAGTTGTTTTGCGATTTCCCTTATGTTACGATTAACAATCAAATTGACAAGCGCATGGCAATAAAGCTACTTTGAGGATGAAATAGTATGCTGTAGACAGGGGTTTTAAGCATCTGCGGGGCTAGCCACACTTCTCATTTTTATGCCGCCGGCATGACGACGTTGGGGTTTTGGGGAGGGAGCGTGATAGTACGTGTAAGCACGAAATGCGCATAACCGTCATTAGGGAGTTGGGGCGGCGTGTATTCACCACCTGGATTCGGCGCTGGCCACGGACGATAGGGCGCTTGTACCAACGTCTTTTGATAAAAAGCTCTGAATTCGTTGACCGAACAGTCACCGCTCAAGCTGTTGCTAGCAATTGCTCTCTTAGGCCTTTAAAGAAGTTTGCTGGTGCCCGACTGACGACCTGAAAATCTCCTTTGGCGTCGATTCGGTTATTTGCAGCAATTAGATGTGCAAGAATAGGACTCCGAATCTATTTACTTTACCTATGCCTGACCAGGCAGTTATGGGTTCGCGTATTCCCCATCTCGTACGCCTCGATGCAATGCCACTGTCATTCCCTCCACAGAGACACCTAAATAAGCAAATACACATTGAAGTAGCCTGCATCGATATCCGATCTTCACCGCTCGAGTGTAAGAGGGGAAAGTTGATGGAGAATACGCATAAGGTCACCAAGTGATAGCTCTCGTTATAGTTGTCGTTAGGCGTCGCTGGACTAATTCCCTTGCCAAATGTCGTAAATGGCAGTCGAGAAACACGTCCTTTTGCGGAATTAGGCTTTGTGGTCAGCCTATCAACTTTCTCCAAGATAAATCCCTCTGGATAACCATTCTCATGGAGTGTCTTTTACAGCGCCTGGAACTCTGTTTCAGCAGTTTCATATGAGCAAATCCAAGTGCGCACTTGCCACCAAACCCTGGACAAACTGTTGCCACATTTAGGGGAGCGAAAATGCGATAATTAATGTATCGTCAGGCCAAGGTTTTTCTTCGAAATACCCTACTTTGGCTAGATACATCCTCCTGTCTGCGCAAAAGGACATCGAAAGACGTGATTTCGTTAGCTGTCTCAGAATCTGCAGAAGATATTGGCAAAGATTGGCAAATTTGAGAGATTCGGGTTGACTATTTGAAGAAGAAGAAGAAGAAGAAGAGGAAGAAGAAGAAGAAGAAGAAGGAGAAGAAGAAGAAGAAGAAGAAGAAGAAGAAGAAGAAGAAGAAGAAGAAGAAGAAGAAGAAGAAGAAGAAGAAGAAGAAGAAGAAGAAGAAGAAGAAGAAGAAGAAGAAGAAGAAGAAGAAGAAGAAGAAGAAGAAGAAGAAGAAGAAGAAGAAGAAGAATATAGGCTCTCCGGAACAGGTTTATTTAACTGCTGACGTTTCAAAGAGCTGGGTCAGCTCTTCATTGTCAAAGCGTAAAATGCACGTAATCGATCGGAAATTTAATTAAAAGTGACATGTTGTGTTGGTCGGCCTCATGCTGATCGATTTTTCTCTCCTCTCGCTGCCTCGGCCTCTCGGGAGACGGTTGACGGGCGTTTTGCCTGTGTGCTTTGTGAGTCACCACTCCGTCGAGGGGAACTGATTGAACCCTTGTCGGGCGGTCGGTCTGGCGGTTCTTGTTCTTCCTCACCAAGTAAACTCAGCGTCAGGCTATCTCCGCACAGTCTTCTTAAGTCCGGTGTGGTTGTTTGGTCCTGAGCTCTACGACTGTGATGACGTAGGACTTTGTAAGCTGCAGGAAGGTCCAGATGCCTGTTGATAGAGTGGGCATCGGAGAACCACGCCTCGAGAGTTAGTCGTTCTGCTTTTGTGTTGCTCCGGCCTAAGATGGTAGCGCACTGTTAAAATGCTAGGCCAGTGCGCAGATGTCTGTGGTTCGACCTGAGACGTCGTCCACATACCGACCGTAGGAGTCGTTGTCGTTGATGGTATCCCGTAAACTCTTTTACTCGAACTTGCCCACGAGAACATTTGCAAGAAACGGTCCAAGCGGTGTACCCATCGGCACGCCGTCTATTTGCTTTGCTGCAGAACGATGTAAAGAAATTAGAAACATTGTTCTTATAGTGCAAATTGTTTTTTTAGGATTTCCACTGTCATGGCTATCTGGTAATTTGTACGCTGAATAAAGTCATAAAGGTAATGTATTGTTTCCACTAGGGGTGCGTCGGTAAACATTGATTAAATATTTGACGAGAAAGTTCTCCGCACGCTATCGTTCTTGATAGCATCAGCAAACCGAAAGATTTCTTTGAAACCTTTTAGGTAAAGATAACATTGGAGCAACTTCAGCTTCTCCATCAGTCATTTTACAATGGCTTGATAGGACGAATTTCTCACATCCAAGATTGAACGTAGGGGCAGCCTACGTTTGTGGATTTTCGGATGGCTGTATATTCTGCGTACCGTCGAGCCAACAGGTCCTAGTTGCTCAAACCCTCTTCCAGACAAAAGACTTGTGTGCATAGGTTTGCTAACTTTCGTTCCCCAACTTTCGACGACCTCAGTTCGGTCGCAGTCATTATCGATACTCATGTCCGCGAGACACCCTGTGAATATCGAGATAGGTTCTTGTCAAGAAACCCCTGTTTTTGGAGCATCCCTCAAGTATTTTTTTAATCAATTTATTAGAACTGACTTAAGGAAATCAAGTTCTTTAGTGTCGGTGGGTTTTAAATTGGTCATCTGAGTGAAGGGAATCTCAGGTTGGATTTCTTGCTCTAATAGCTTCGAAATCCGCAGTGCAATGCAATACATAGGCCCAAAAGGATCGCAGATACCTACGTCAGAATCAGAACTGCGTGACCTATCTCATGAAATGTTGGTCGAAATTCTGGAATGCGTTTCCGATTAGGAAGAATTACTTAAATGGGGTTGTTATACTCATTATCATCCGGCATAACCCTATAATATTTCGAACTTTCCAGAATGTCAGCTTTGGAATGCACTTCTTTCCGACCTCCTGCAGAAATCGCCCTCTGTAGAAAATGACTACTTAAGTAGCCTGCATTTTTCCTATTGATTTTCGATGGTTTTATATGTTCAAACATATTTTGTAGAAAACAAGCACACAATATGCTTTCTTTTGCTCCTTTGGTAGGAAATCACGTTGTCTTCATATTTTATTCCAGAAGAAAGTGTATACTTAGGTTTTAAAAAGTTTCCTAATTCCAGAATAACTTTCAGCCTTATCTGCCATTGCATCAGCGTCTAGCAATTTCATTTTACATGATGCATGCATTCCGTGTAAGGAAAATCATTGATTCCTGTATGTCTTTAAGGAGATACCACATAGAGTTCATGAAATTTTACAATGAATCTGGACTGTGTTGTACATTTCATGAGGAGCATTAGTAAACGGGCATGTGTGGTCTTGCATGTATGGACATCGCACGGTCTTAAAAATCTCATAATTATAACCTTTTTTAAAACCTAAATATGCACTTTCTTCGGGCATCAAATATGAAGATAATGTGATTTCCTACCAAATGAGCAAAAGAAAGCATAGTTTTGTGCATGGTTTCTGTAAAAGATATTTGAATTTATAAGACTATCGAAACTCAATCGGAAAAATGCATGCTACCTAAGTATTCATTTTTTGCAGAGTGTGGTTTCTGCAGGAGGTCGAAAAGAAGCGCATTCAAAAGTCGACATCCTGGAAAGTTCGAAATGTTATAGGGTTGTGCTGGATGATAATCAGTATAACAACCCCACTTAAGTAATCCTTCCTAATCGGAAACGCATTCCAGAATTTTGATCAACATTTCATGAGATCGGTCACGCACTGTGTATTTGCGTTTGCTTCTCACGAAATCGACCTGACGTCAGCAAGAATCATCTTCTATAGGTCTTGTGGCGGTCAAGGATGTGAGATCAACTTAAACCACGCACAATAAGTTCTTTTCGTCTACTGTCAGAAGTCAGGGAGCTGTGAGGACTGGTTTATTCTGTACACAGGGCAGGTTGCCGTAAGTTGGCGGTTTGCTTGCAACAGAGAAAAGCGTCCGTTCACGGAGAGCATCAGTCGCGGTGTGTGTTGTTTACGCGGGTGTGAGTGTCTAGGTCAGCAGGAGGGGGTGACTGTCTGAGTGGTGGTCGTGTGATTGGACAAATTAGAGGACGAGTGGAGGGCGCATACTCACAAGGCCTCACGGGAATCAAGCCAAAGCGTTCGACGCGCGTTAGGCGATACTAGTTTTTGAGTGCAGCCGGGAGTCACTGCAGCTGGACAGGAGGTGTCCCAGTTCTAGCCGGCGGGGGTGGCCGTGCGTCAGCGGCCTGTCAGCGGCCTGTCAGTGCTTATCGCGGTCATCGACCGACAAAAGGGAGCCGGAGAAAAGGGGGACTGGAGCAGCTGCTACAACTCCCCCCCAGACACCAAACAAAGTGAAGGCGTCGACACGCTAGCCAGCCACAAACCTGTCGGGCCAGTGGACGTGGCGACCAGATCGTGTGTGGCGAACCGGAGGGGGGCTGTCGCCAGTAGGTGGAGGAGGCCGCACTGTCTGAGGCGGGGTGCGTTGTTGAGGTGAGGAATGGTCACTGTCGTCGATGTAGGCCGGCTTGACGCGATCAATGCTGACTGTGTCGGTCTTGCCGTTGCGTTCGATGACAACATCTTTGTCAGATCGGCGAAGGACTTTATACGGCCCGTCATAGGGTGGTTGGAGTGGTCGTCGGACAGCGTCATGCCGAACCCAGACGAAATCGCACTTATCCAGGTCGGGTGGGATGAAGGAATTGGCCGGTGACGCCCGAGGGGGCGTTGCGCGGAGATTGCGCATGGCACTACGTAGTCGCTCCACATAACTGCAAGGTTCAAAAAACGTTAGCGTGTTTGAAGGAGAAACCAACTCACCGGGCAGTCGTAGGGAGGTTCCGTAGACAAGATCAGCTGCAGTGCAACCGATGTCGGCCTTGAGAGTGGAACGGAGGGACAACAGCACCAGGGGAAGGTGATCAGACCATCGGGAAGGATCGGGCTGGGCCATAAGGGAAGTCTTCAGCTGTCGATGGAAGCGTTCGACGAGACCATTTGCTTGAGGGTGGTACGCTGTTGTTCGGATTCGGTTGGTACCGAGAAGGCATTTGAGTTCGCGAAACAGCGTGGACTCGAATTGGGATCCGCGGTCAGTGGTGACAGTCGCAGGAACTCCAAAATTGGACACCCAATGAGTCAAGAAAGCTCTTGCTACGGTTTCGGCACTGATGTCCGGAATGGGCACAGCAACCGGCCACCGAGTAAAGCGATCAATACATGTCAGCATATAGGTAGAACCGTTAGATGGTGGCAGCGGACCTACCAGGTCAATATGCACATGACTGAAGCGTGCATCAGGGGTGGCGAAAGTTCCTGGCGGAGTAATAGTATGCCGATGCGTTTTGGCTCGTTGACATGGTAGACAGGAGCGGGTCCAACGCCGTACATCCCGGTTGATGTTGGGCCAGACGAATCGGTCAGTGATGAGTTTCACTGTCGCCCGGACTCCAGGGTGGGATAGATTGTGAAGGGCGTTGAACACGTGTCGTCGTAAAGTTGCAGGGACAAAAGGACGTTCGTGTCCGGTAGAAAGGTCACACGTGATGGTGCCTGTGCCAGTGGGAAGGGGGACATCTTGAAGGCGTAAAGAAAAGTTCTCGTGGCGGTATTGGGGAAGTTCGCCATCCGATCGTTGAGCCTCAGCCATGAGCGTGAAGTCTATGGCGTCTGTTGTGATGGAAGCCATCTCGATTCTTGAAAGAGCATCAGCAACCACATTTTCCTTACCGTGGACATGTTGGATGTCGCAGGAAAACTGTGAGATGAAGTCGAGATGACGAATTTCACGGGGCGAGTAGCGATCGGGAGAGGCCCTCAGTGCAAAAACAAGTGGCTTGTGATCTGTTAGAACAACAAATTCACGACCCTCGAGGAAATGGCGGAAGTGCCGGATGGATAGATAGACGGCAAGGAGTTCGCGGCCGAAGACACTGTAGCGGGTCTCTGCTGGGCTGAGCTTCTTCGAGAAGAAAGCCAAAGGCTGTAGAACACCACGAACAGTTTGCTGAAGTGACGCACCAACGGCAGTGCTGGGAGCATCTGTCATGAGAGTTAGTTGGGCATCTGAGCGAGGATGGGCAAGCAATGTTGCGTCCGCAAGTGCGGCCTTGGCGTAATTGAAGGACCTGACGGCCTGCTCGGTCATCACTAGTGTCTTCTTGGAGTGGGTCAGCAAGCTGTTGAGAGGCTGCAGTATGGTGGCACCATGGGGAAGAAAACGGTGATAGTAGTTCACCATCCCCAAGAATCGGCGTAGTTGGCTGATGGTTGTCGGGACGGGGAACGTTGATATGGCCGAAACTTTTTCCGGGACGGGCTTTATCCCATCTGAGTTCACTTCGTGACCAAGGAAGATAAGACTGGGGACTCCAAACTCACATTTGGCGGCATTGATGATAACGCCGTAG